TTTGATGATTGGTTGGGGCCACGATTGAGAGAAATAGAGGTTGCGCCCATAACGGTACCGCTATTCCTCTCTCAGTGAATTTGACAGAATCGTTGTTTGTATAACGTCACACTTGTGCAACTTGTTTACGTTTTCCTTGCAACATTTTTCCTTCTTCCATTCTTGCTCACGTTTTGGCATTTCTCTCTCGCAATTGCATCAGTGTGACGTCACACAAAAGATATTCTCAAAAATCCTCTCTGATGGGCGCAATCTTGTATTCTATCATTCTTGGGTTGGGGCGTTTCCCTTTCTTGAACTTCGAAATTTTTGTGATATCTGGAGTGCCGCCCTCACTGGTATTTGCCACTCGCGTGTTCAGCTCTTTAGCGTTCAACCTAGCGGCTTCAAGGGAAACAGCTGTTGCGACTATTTCATCAAAAGTTGCTCTACTTGCCTGTATTAGCTGCTCTCTGATGCAGGTGTCCTGGATACCTCGAATTAATTGGGCTCGCAGAAAAATGAATGCCACCGATGACTTGCACGTGCAATTTGATATAAATTTGCACTCGTTTATTTCAGCTCGTAAGGATTTCACGTACTCAGTTACGGATTGCCCTTCACGTTGAAATTTTGATAGAAAACGAGGTTGTTCAACTAACAACTTCGCACTAATTCTTCATAGGTTATGTCGCCCGGATTATTCGGTGCTGTTAATGGCGTAACCGTATTGAAAGCTTTTGCTCCTATTGAGTTCAGCAGAAGTTTTTTACAATATTCTTTATCTGCTTTAATAAAAGTGCCTTATTTGTATAAACTTGCTATTCTATTGCAAAAACGGAAACTTCTACACGTCGGTATAATAAAACTCTAATTCACAAGATAAAAATATCACTCACAGCCAACTTGCTGTTTTTACTAATAGCGGGGTTACAATAGATCGATTTACTAATAGCAGGGTTACAATACTTCCTTATCCAACTTGGAAAAGATAAAACAGACTTCGCGATTTTTGTTACCGATGATGTCGATGTGATGGGCACACGCCAGAAATTACACGCCCTTGTAAAAAATTGTTCCTGCGTGGTTCAGTTCTACAGCTCTTATTATCTTACACCCCTATTCTGCAACTCTTTCGTATTCGGATTTAAAATAGTATGCTGCAATCCCAATCGTATTTTCGAACTTTCGAAATTAATAACAATGGCATGCCTAAAAACGAACGAGTAAGCTTTTTTGCGTAATTTTGTACGACAACAATTCTGTGTCGGAGGCGAGATAAAAGATGTATATCGATGTGTGTTTGCAGGAAATATTAGTGGTGTTCATTTAAATCAGAGATGGGCAAATTGGCTCCCAGGAGTCTTTTGCACTGAGGAGCCGGCTTGGCTCATTTAGGAGCATGATGAGGGGGGCATCAAGAGCCAGCATGAAGGGAGAAGAGCATAATAAAACAGATTGTACTCCGACTCTCTTTACTAATGCAAACATTAAAAGAGAATGAGAACATATACTATACATGTACATTTGTGGTCCCCAAAAGTTAAACTGTGACTGTGTTGGTGAGAACAAGAAAACGGCTCCGCATTGCAACCTAGTAGGAAATTACGAGAACTAAAACAAAATTTTTAAATTATCGGGCTTCAATAAAAACATATAAATACATATATTTAGCATATATACATACGGGCATCGCTCATTTACTAGAAAAGTGTCATAATCCAATCAATTCTGTTAAGAATGAACGTTGCCTCTTTCCTATGATGTGTAAAAATTTCAAAGCTGTAACAATTATCAGTAGCTCACTAGAAACAAATATGTATTAATTTTTACCATGGGAGTAGATATATGCAAATTTAAAACTTTAAAGCCGTTTTTCTCGAGTTTTTAGTTTTTTGAGTTAAGATAGTATTGAAGTAAATGAGCGATAGGTATGATATGTACATACATAAAAACTCAAATTAAAAATTTAAAAATTCATTGGATGCAACCACGTCAAATCATTGCCTGCCACCAAAAGCATTTTCAAGCAAAGTATGTATGTGCGTACTTATTTCTCGCAAGGCATTTTTGTATTCAAGTAACAAAGCAGAACCGCTATGCGCGATGTTAATTCGTTGCTGTTTCGCCAACTCTGAGCACAAGTGTGCTTCACACCACTGTTGCCAACTTAGTGCTTTTCGCACTAAATTTAGTGCTTTTCTTAATTCAAAACGCGAAAATTTTAGAGTTTGGTTGCGTTTTTTGGTTCTTTTAGTTTTACTTTGAAGACACCAAAACTGTAAATCTGAAACAAAAATGGAAGTTAAATTTAGAGCAATTGGAATTTTCGTAAGGAACTTTACAAAAATGGAAACAAAATCATGGCACAATGACAATCATAAGCGAAAGAGCACATGTTTGTCCAAAAAATAAGTGGCAGCACTTTCAATCATGCAAGATTACATACGGTAATTTGCTACTGCCTGAAAAAACGTCCATGTTTCTGCGACCAGAAATCGATCTTTAGACCTTTAATTTGGGCTGAATTCTTTAAATTTTTTACGAATATTAAAAAAAAGGACCAGAATCTCCTAACAGTAAAATGAATAACAAATCTTCGACCGCTGAGCAAGAAGCATTAATTTTTATTAACTTGAATCGGCATACCTGCAGTAAAATTTTGTATGCATACAAAGTCCATTAAATCCTCCAATAAAAAATTTGGTGCTTTTTTGGAGAGGAAACGCGACTTTTCTTGGGTTTTAGTGCTTTTTCAAATTCAAAACTTGGCAACACTGCTTCACACGTATACGAAGAGCGGCAGCAGAGCCGAGAGAGAGAGAGAGAGATCATACTAGAGTAGCCACAATTTTTAAATTCGGTAATAATAGGTCGCCTTTGCGACCCAGTTCAGCCACGTATTTTTCATATAATTTGTAAAAATAAAGATTTACAAATTTTTAAATTAAACTCTCTTTTAAAAAGATATTTTGTACTGTTAAACGTAATTTCATTTACCGGTTAATAAATCACCCAATTAATGCAAAATCTATTTAACAAAAAATTTGAATTCAAAGCTAAATTAATGTTTCAAATATTTATACATATAAACCTGTGTATGAATATTTTACATAAATGTAGATTTCCGTTCAAAATATGCTCGTATGTATTTTCATTTCGAATAAAATGACATACATATGTATTAGAGTGGCTTTGTTTGGTCGATTTTCAAAAACCGAAAGTTTTCGCGCGAAAAAACATGAGGTTGGCAAGGAAAATAAATATGGAATTTGTTTTTTCCGGATCCGGAAATTCCGAGTGGTTCCGGGTGGATCATGTTGATTTTTTAATAGGAAACATGTTGAAATTGAAACTATTATTTTAAATTTTCAGCTTTTACGGCCATGAAACCCAATTTTTTATTCCTGAACTGTTTTTTATTGAAAATTGAATACATCTACATTTTTAAAAAGCTCAAAAAGTCTGACATTGATTGAAAAACCATGGTACACGATAATATTAAAGCTGAGAAAAATATGAAATCATCATTTATATCAATATATTATTTAATGTCAAATAATAATAATATTTAATATCATTTTAAATAAAGCATAATGTAGAATTTTTCTAATATATACTTAAAAAAAAGAAATGCAAAATAAAAGAAATTAATGTAATTTCGGCATTTTTGGTCGAAAAAGCTCAACCCGGAACCTCTAGGAATCAACTGAAGGCTTTTAAACTAATTACGTATTTAGTTATATCCCCAACCTCACATTATTCTGTGCGAAAACTTTTGGATTCATGCATTTCAAATTTTTCATACAACAAAAAGGCCACTCTAATATGTATGTTAAAATATTAACTTTCTATTATGCAATATTTATGCAAATTTGGGGTTTGTCACAAAAAAGAGGAAAAACCTTATCTGTCGCTCGAAAAATCTAAGCCTGGTCGCCGCCAAAAAAATTATCTACATAAAAATAAAAAAAAAATTCTGAGTTTGGTAATTTTTTTTAGAGTTTTGGTAAAAAATTAAAAAGTTTTGTGGCAACCCTGAGGATGAAACTGAATTAGGCACACTAACACTTGCTCACTTTTAGCTCGTGCTTGTTTGCGGTAGTGTCCATCACGGCTCATGTATGTATATATGATAATTATTTTCGTTTTTGAGAGATGCTGAATTTGCTGTTGACTGTTAGTATTTCCGCAGCTGCCGTGCGATGAAGATCATGAACAGGCATGGGCAGAGAACGAGCACACGCTCAAAAAGCATAATCATCGCGTGTACGTATACAAGCAAGAGCGCAACAATGAGCATGCGACAGCATGCAAAATTAATTAAGTACACCAACACATTCTCACTTTTGGCTAACGCTTGTTTGTGGTAGTGCCCACGTCTGATCATGAAAGTGGGGATGTATGATGATTGTAATCTATTTTTAATACCCTCTTCACCCTGAGAACTGCTTTACCTCTTGCGTAGCACTTGCTGGCTCTTTGACTGCTTTAAGAGCCAAAAATTTGCCCATCCCTGATTTAAACAGATAAATTTGCCTTTCGTATATACGTATATTTGTAACCACTGCTTTATACAAACGATCAAAAAAGAATCTTTGTTGCTGTTTATCGAGAAACTTGGGTCCGGTTTAGTTATTTGTACAATGATTTTCGGTTGTTGTGTCCAAACGCATAACCCGAATCCAAAAACTTTAACATCACGTCTAATCAAAGGATTACAATTTTATTTAAAATAAATGTTTCAAATTTTCGACCACTAGCTTATTAATAAATTCGGTTTGCACTATGCATTTTTTTGCAAATTTCGACGTGGGTTCTGCGCAAGAATACTGTGGATAGTGTAGCCGGAGTGATATGCATAAGAATACCTTTGTATACCTTTGACATGCGGAAGCCCCTCTTCTCCGGCAACACAGAAAGGAGAATTGTACTTAGTAATAAGGCATTCACATTGAGCCACTGACTCGTGTTTATGGGCCATTTTGGAGTTTAAGCCTTAACTCTACTCTTAAACTCGGAGTTTATCATTCAAAAAATTTCGTTAAACTCTCCTTAAACACCACTTTTATTTGGAGTTTGTGCGAATGCAACCCTTTTTTTTGACCCGATTCGGTTTGTGTCTTTGATAGTCCAAACTTGCAACCAACTTTCCGACAGTTAGTCTGTTCCCGTACTGCAGGATTTAATCAGAATTAGTCCGAAGTCGTTCTGTGCACGTAAGTCTAGAATATCAACAATCTAGCGATGCAAAAACCAAAAATGTGGCTCGACAGAACTCTTTGTGCTGATTTCAACCCTACCAAAATTACCTGGCGAAATTAAAATATAAAAAAGATATCAATGGTTAAAGTTAAATTTTCTGATTTTTTTTAATATTAATATCTTCTGAACAACATAATAATAATAATAATAATAATAATAGATTGGCGCTTACACATATGTTAGTGTTTGGCCGAGCTTCTCCTCCGATTTGTGGTGTGCGCCTTGATGTTGTCACACAAAGCGGAGGGACCTACAGTTTTACGCCGACTCCGAACGGCGATTGTATTTTTATGAGAAGCTGTTTTTCATGGCAGAAATACACTCGGAAGTTTGCCATTGCCTGCCGAGGGACGACCGCTGTTAAGAAAAAACCTTTTTTCTATATTTTTTGCGACGTTGCTTTGACCAGGGTTTGAACCCAGGCGTTGCGGAGTGGAAGCGCGCACTGCTTACCACTACACCACAGCGGCCGACAACATAACCTATTAAAAAACTAATGACGTCAAAATAAAGATAATTAATTTTTCTTTCGTGTATGTATATAATTCATATGGTATTTTTAGTCCAGAAATACTAAAAAACAAAATAAAATAAAAATATATATTTTTAAATGTAGTTTATATAAAATTAGTTCTAAAACTGGTTATAGTATATACCTTGCATAAAAGGCATTTAAATTATGTTGAAACTAGCATCAATAATTTTTTAATCGGGTAACTAGTTTCCGAGATATTAAACACATAAGAAATAGTTAAGTTGAACTTTAACGTCTTTTTTTATTTGCACCAAATAATTTTGGTATGGTTGAAATTTGCGTAAAAAGTTCCATCGATGTGAACGCTTGACAGTTGTTCATAAACTCAAAACGTTAAACTCGAGTTAGTGGCTCAATGAGAACGTAATATAAGGGTTATAATCCCTAAGCGCGGCCGAATGCGGAAGCAAGTGCAACAGGTGGTGGACCTAACAAAGTGCATGTTTTCAATGACTTGGAAGAAGCTGTTATTGAATTAACTGGGCATGAATCACATAACTTTGAAACGATTGTCGTTCAAACGACACTGACAAAACTATGTCGTCAAAACACTGATTCATGCATTTGTTTTGCTGTTACGTGCTACTGTTACTGTTACGTGCTACTGTTACTGTTACGTGAAACAGAACTGGAATTGAGTGGACGATATCGCACAAACGATCCAACAATTTTTGGTTTTCATGAAACAAGACAAACTCAGCACGATATCGTCCAGACAATTGTCGTCATACGTGATTCATGCCCTGGATTGAGAACCAGTTCTTCAGGCATAGGAGGAGTTCTGGCTTGTGGTTCAACAATTCAACCAGAAGCTGACTTAGATGCACCCATGGTTACTATGCCCGACAGCTCCGCATATCTTTGTGAAATCATTCCCATAACGCGTCTTACTCCGCTGCTATAATTGCAAATGCAATAGAATCCATCGTTTCCTTTAAAATATGTAAAATGAAACAATTTTACTATAAATAAGCACTTCATGAGTGTATTCCTTTCCACTTTGTTCTCCTTCATTCAGCTATCTTCGAAAAATAACTGATAGCTGACAATGCTGCACATGTTTCCGCAAGGGTTGCAGCATGTGGATTTTTCGTTTTTCGTATCGTAGCTACGAATTACGAATTACGAAAATTCGAGTTCTAGAATAAGGGGGTTAATATTTGCATAATGCAATCGTAAATGCCCTACTGCTTTCGCTTTAATTTGGAAATCTTTGATTGGGCATATAATAGGAGTTCACAATAGTTATAATCAGGGAACGGATTTTTAGGACCTAAAACCCTATAAAAAAGGAAAAATAAAATAACGAAATAGGCTGGAAAAGGCAAACTAAAATAGCGAAAAAGGCAGGAAAAGGCAATAGGTATTGCAAAAAAGGCAAAACAAAATAGCGAAAAAGGCAGGAAAAGGCACTAGGTATTGCAAAAAAAGCAAAATAAGGCACTAAAAAAAGACAGAAATGTTTATATTACAAGTAAAAAAGAGAAAAACTATGAACTAGTTTCATTATATGAAAAATGTGTACTTTGAATCTTTGACTACTTTATCCTTTCGAGTTTCTAATTCATAAAACTTTAATCTGTATAGTTGTAGTAACATTGAACCACAAGATGCATTTTGAAGTTTTCTGGCAGCATTTTCATTCTTGAATGTACTAAATGTGCGCTCGACGTAAGTTGATACAAGTAGAGCCCAATTTAAATATGGAACGTTTGAAACGTTCATATTATCAGGAATAAGGGCGTTTTCCCCGCTCTTTACAATTTTATCCACACCCCTTATTGTCTCCAAGCCTTCGTTAGCTGAGAAAACGGCTATGAATTTTTCCAACACCAATTTGGCAAGAGGTCCCTGCGCTTCTATAAGCCGCATGGGCATGTGTATATTTTTTAATCTTAAAAAAAAATTGTAAATGCAGAAAGAAAAGGCAAAAAAAGGCAAATATCTTAAAAAAGGCAAAAAAAGGCAACATCAAATGTGTATATATGGAATCAGGGAAAGCTAAATCGTGGACATTCTTAATCGAATATACTCTATCTCTTTAGCAGAAAAAAAGGAAATTTAAATAAAATCCGTTCCCTGGTTATAATAATCATTATCATAATATTACCTAATGTTATTAAAAATTTCCTTACTCGCAATAAAAGTTAACTGATTTATAATGTTAGGGAATGGTCACATTATTTAATTAAGTATTTTTTTAAACAGCTTTCATACGATAGTTTTATGTTTTCGATACGCTTTTATAATTTTTTTATTTGAATAAGTAGTTTTTTAATTAATTTTTTTCTTTGCGTAATTTGTATACCAACTCTTCATTTCTATGATCACTTCCTTTGATAAAATGTTGTAAATTCTCTCTTCATTTAAACCAGTGCTGCTCAAATTTTTTATATTGGAGTGAAATCACAATACATCTACAAAATTTATGTGTACACTGAGAGTTTTTTTTTTGTAATTTAAATGAAGCTAAAAAGCACAAGTTTATTTTTATTGTACGATTAGTGAATGAAATTTGTTAGCAATGGGAGTCTTTACATACATATTTGTGAAAAATACAGTTAAGAAATGATAGCGACCTAGTGGCCAAAATTTAGTGGGAGGAATCCTTGGACATATTTACAACATATTGCAAGCTCAATTTTTACATTTCCATTCGTATCATTGGGATACTCCTCGCATATAAAAGTCCCATTTTAAAGCGTTAATAAATGATAGCACCATTGAAGCAATATGCAATAAAATTTAAGGAGGGCACCTTAAATCAAGGGTGGACAGGAGATACGAGTTTCTCCAACATTAATTTATAATTTTATTTTATTTTTTGCGCGAAGTTTGCTACACATTTATTGGCATTTTCCGTCAAAGTCCCGAAATTTATTTTTTCTGCAAACCGACGTTGGAAGAATATCTGCAATCCTATCAATTTTACGCGGTGTGATGCTCCCAGGGGTCTGCGTTGGATTCAGATTGGAAATCAATCATTTTCTATTTCCCATTTGAAAATTTCCAAAAAGTTTTGATGGCAAGGTACAAAATGGCGTTGCAAGTAATTATTCGTCGGCCGCTGTGATGTAGTGGTAAGCAGTGCGCGCTTCCACTCCACAATGCCTGGGTTCAAACCCTGGTCAAAGCAACATCGCAAAAATATAGAAAAAAAGGTTTTTTCTTAACAGCGGTCGTCCCTCGGCAGGCAATGGCAAACCTCCGAGTGTATTTCTGCCATGAAAAACAGCTTCTCATAAAAATACAATTGCCGTTCGGAGTCGGCGTAAAACTGTAGGTCCCTCCGCTTTGTGTGACAACATCAAGGCGCACGCCACAAATCGGAGGAGAAGCTTGGCCAAACACTAACATATGTGTAAGCGCCAATCTATTATTGTTATTAAGTAATATTTCGTCATTCGTTTAATAATTACAAAGCACAACATACACTAGGTACGCTTCGCACTCAAAATTGCAAAAAAGATCTCGCGCTTCCACACTTTAATGAACACCCCGTGTTTTTGTTTTATAAATTTCATTTTCACTTTCAGTAAATACGAATGTTAAATCAATTTATAATATACATATATTTTTTTCAGTGCTGACATATTTTGTATTAGTTTTTCATTCTATAATTGTTTGTGTAAATTTGTACATTTTACTGGAGTGCCTTAGCTTCATATGCGAGGGCGTTTGCTTTAACCTTCCATATGAAACTCAGGCACTTTCATATAAATTGTGTTTATATGTCAGGTCATACGGGAGGGCGATCATTTTTTTTTTTTTTTATATTTAAAGTGTAAATTTGTATATGTGCCTATACTTCAGGGCAAAACAAAAA